AATAACTTTTATGGCCCAGAATTATTCGGAACTATTCTTTCTTCCGCAATGTTGAGTAAAATAAACCATTGGAGTTACTTCGAGTGAAAATAAAATTTGAAGAGCTCAATCCACTACGATAATGATATAAAAACCTACTTCACGCTATCGTTCGATCGAATTTCGAAGCGTTTGTTCAATGAATACACCTGAACGCCGTATTTACATCTTCCTGAGTGACAATTACGGGAATGAGGAAAGATTATTGTTGAGTGCAGTTTATATGGTTGGCCTTCGCTTTTACTTTATCACCGCAAATCACGAGGGAATACATCAGGGGATATTCGTGGGGATAGATCGATTGTGTATTAACGGCTCAAGAGTCCAAAGCCGATTAAACTCCTGCTGCTAAGAGTTTACACGGAATGTGGGACTTAGAAGAAGCCTCACAAGTGAAGGCTAGAGCTCTAGAGCTCCCACGAAATTTTCATATTTTTCGTCTTTGAGGATTCCCTTTTGGGTAATATCAGGTAGAGAATACACAGCTTAGAAATTTTCATAAATATATATAATGTAAACTTCATGTGTGTTGAGACCTTCTCGTTTTTTTACTCTCGGAAAAAATCCTAACTCTCCTGAATTTTCAGTGGATCTTGAAATATCGGGGACTTATCCCCAGTAATATAGATTCAATATGACTGCTACGAAATTCACTACTCTGTCTATGAAATTCCAAATTTCGTTGATTCTTTTGCATAGGAAATGACCCGTGTCTGTGCAACGCGATCGAAACTTCTCCGGATTTATGGAAATTACGGGCACGTAAATTTCTAGATCCAATACTCAGCAAAATCCGAGAGCAAAACTATTTCGCTGAAATGATGAGAATTAATGATTGACCATGTGAAATAATCAACGTCGCACACGACGCGTAATCTCCAATCCGAAACGATACAGTAGAATCACCGATGAGTAATGGAATATCGATTTCAACATCGCAACCGTCATTTCACCTTATCAATCCTTCAGCACTCCTTCAAATGCTCGAACACCTAATCGATCATTCAGCCTCAAGAGGGAAATTCTGGGAAAATTTTTATCCTTAGAAAGTACATTTTCTCCTTCCAATGAAAGAGGCGCATGGAGTCCTGGGGATATCCCCGTTATGATTGATTAATCAGAAATAAATCCACAAGACAAGTTTGTCTCCTCACAATCCTTCCTATAAACCCATTATCAGAGACTGGATTAAATGTCTGCAATAATGGCATTTAATCCGCGTCCGGTGGTCACTAATAATTAAACATTTCATCATCCTCGAGAGAGTCCATTCAGATCTGATTCCAATCAGTGCCCTTCATGGCCTCAATGACAAAGAAAATGCAGAGAACAGAGACGTTATTGTCAACGAATATTAGCTGACCTCTGGGATTTGGCGGGGAATTCTTTATCATTCACCAAAGAAGATTTATCTTAGTCAGCGAGACATGTAGAGGCTCGAAAAATGTGTTAGTGTGGCGTGTATTCGGCCGAGAAAGAAATGAAACTCCAGGGGTTACCTTGAGCAAGAGTCGATCGAAGGGACGTAGATGTAGCACAATGTAGTTGTAGCACGTGAAAGAGTCTCATACATGGCAACTCTTGAAACATCAATCCATCTTTTGTCCGTCGATACAAGTAGTAGGACTG